AGATATTCTTCAATAACCTATAAGGAATAGATTGGATCACCACTTTAAGATGTTCTTCAACAACCTATCAGGAATAGTTTGGATCACCACTTCAAGATATTCTTCAATAACCTATCAGGAATAATTTGGATCACCACTTTAAGACGTTCTTCAACAACCTATCAGGAATAGTTTGGATCACCACTTTAAGATGTTCTTCAACAACTTATCAGGAATAGTTTGGATCACCACTTTAAGATATTCTTCAACAACCTATCAGGAATAATTTGGATCACCAGTTTAAGACGTTCTTAAACAACCTATCAGGAATAGTTTGGATCACCACTTTAAGATGTTCTTCAACAACCTAACAGGAATAGTTTGGATCATCACTATAAGACGTTCTTCAACAACTTACCAGGAATAATTTGGATCACCATTTTAAGACTCTCTTCAACAACCTACCAGGAATAGTTTGAATCACCACTATAAGACCTTCTTCAACAACCTACCAGGAATAGTTTGGATCATCATTTGAAGACTCTCTTCAACAACCTACCAGGAATAGTTTGGATCATCACTATAAGACCTTCTTCAACAACCTACCAGGAATAGTCTGGATCATCATTTTAAGACTCTCTTCAACAACCTACCAGGAATAGTTTGGATCATCACTATAAGACCTTCTTCAACAACCTACCAGGAATAGTCTGGATCATCATTTTAAGACGCTGTTTTGGCCTCAGAACACCGCACGCTGGTTGAATTTTGAACGCGCCAGGGTTGGAAGTTTTAGTCTATTAAATGCAAGTTTTATTAAATTAGCTTCAGAATATTTGCAATCAATGTCCGTCAGCTGAATAATCTTTTAAGGATAACGTAAATATAAAGAATACTACAATAAATAATACAGTGAGAGAAGTATTCAGATAATAAATCATAAATGCTATTATTTTGTTAAATAGGAAAACAATTACCTTGAAAGCAACAGTGATGTCGATTTTGTTTTGAAGTTTTACCTGTGCCTCCATTGCTCCACGATTTTGTGGATACATACGAAATTGTAAAGTAGAGGGCCTATAATTCAATGAAATTAAAAGTTTCCAATAAAGTATTCAAGTAAAAATACGGTACAGAAGATACTGAACCTACTTTGTTTTTAACGGTGCTTGATTAAATATTACATAAATTACATGCGATAAACCAAGCATTTCAATGAGACGTTGCCTCCAAAACAAAACAGATTAATTTATAACTTACGATATATCCAATAATCGTTCATTTTGTTTCTTTGTTTTGTTATTGCGGGCAAAGTTCTTCTGTGGCACGTCAACGGTCACGGTCATTTCAGACTCTTCTTGTACTAAATAAGTAACAACGTTTCAGAAACACGTTTTCTAATTAGAACAAACTAATCTTACACTAAATACGTAAAAACGTTTCTGAAACACGTTTTCTAATTAGAACAAACTAATCTTACACTAAATACGTAAAAACGTTTCTGAAACACGTTTTCTAAACAAACTACTATTGTACTAAATAAGTAACAACGTTTCAGAAACACGTTTTCTAATTAGAACAAACTAATCTTACACTAAATACGTAAAAACGTTTCAAAAACACGTTTTCTAAACAAACTACTATTGTACTAAATACGTAACAACGTTTCAAAAATATGTTTTCTAATCAGATCAAACTTTTGTGATATTAATTCAAAAGCTCCCGAGCTAGAATTTAGAAATATTCTCACAATCTGCCTTTGTCAAAAACATTTAAAACCATCCTTAAAATTTGGTTTCTATTAGCTGTTCATCTAGTTCTGTGAAGACAATTAGAAGTTTATGCTGAATGTCCTCTTTGTACACGCAACTTACACATCTTAAACCTTTCTAACATGCAACATACACAACTTGATTTATTCGAATATGCAACATGTACATGTTAATTATTCCTCACACGCAACTTACACATCTTAAACCTTTCTAACATGCAACATACACAACTTGATTTATTCGAACATGCAACATGTACATGTTAATTATTCCTCACACGCAACTTACACATCTTAAACCTTTCTAACATGCAACATACACAACTTGATTTATTCGAACATGCAACATGTACATGTTAATTATTCCTCACACGCAACTTACACATCTTAATCCTTTCTAACATGCAACATACACAACTTAAACTTTTCTAACATGCAACCCACACATCTTAAGGCACTCCGAAAGGACCTTAGAATATTCAATGAAAAAAATATCTTTTAGGAAACATAAGAAAAGAGAGTTTTCGTGTTTACAGTTCTATAAAGGAGATGAACATGAGCAACAGAAGATGTATTTAGTCAGAGAATTCCTTTCTCTTACCATTATTTCATATGTTATCAAAAGTAGGTGAACTATATAAATCAGAACTAGGGTCATTTTAAATGTAACTTACAATTTAACGAATATAATTCTGTATAATAAACTGACACTAAATAATTAAAGTCATGAGTAAATTTGCCAGGTAACTAGAAATCTATAATAATTAGAAGGATTTGCATCATCAATTGTGTATCTTCGTTGTTGAAGTTATTTTTCTAATAATGACTGCCAGTCATGTGAAACCTGGGCTAAATGTCCAAGTAAAACACCTCACGATTCAGGAATAATTTAGAACTGTTGACCAGAGGGAGGATTCATGATTCGGGAATAATTTATAACTGTTGACCAGAGGGAGGATTCATGATTCAGTAATAATTTATAACTGTTGACCAGATGAGGGTTCATGATTCAGTAATAATTTAGAACTGTTGACCAGAGGGAGGATTCATGATTCAAGAATACTTTAGAACTGTTGACCAGAGGGGGTGTTCGTGATTCAGGAATAATTTAGAACTGTTGACCAGAGGGAGGGTTCATGATTCAGGAATAGTTTAGAACTGTTGACCAGAGGGAAGGTAATCACTTAGCTGAGTAGCGGCCATAGATATTACGCCATCACAACCGAAAGTGTGAAGCGTATTCAGCGGCATATCGTAGTTCGTATCTTGGACCTTCAGTATTGCAGCCCGGCACGTTAATGACTAAGTTACATTCGGCCTCATTGAGCCTTGAAGATTTACATTTATATACTTAACGAATGATACAAAATAATTTCATGGAGTGTAACGTTAGTAATAAAAAAACATTCAAAATAACTAAATATTATAACCAAAACTATTTAAATAACTAAATATTATAACCAATAATATTTAAATAACTAAATATTATAACCAAAACTATTTAAATAACTAAATATTATAACCAATAATATTTAAATAACTAAATATTATAACCAAAACTATTTAAATAACTAAATATTATAACCAATAATATTTAAATAACTAAATATTATAACCAATAGTATTTAAATAACTAAATATTATAACCAATAGTATTTAAATAACTAAATATTATAACCAATAGTATCCACTAAAACGAATTATAAAGAAAAGAGGAATAAAACACACGAAACACCAGCCGTTCGCTACCAAGATCCAGCACAGCTTGTGGATACGTATACAACTGTTCGTGTATTTGCAGTACTGCACGTACATCCACCACTACAAATATGTATTGTGTACATCCACCACCGCAAATATATATATAGGGTACAACCACCACCACAAATATATATAGGGTACAACCACCACCACAAATATATACTGTGTACACCCACCACCACAAGTATATATATAGGGTACAACCACCACCACAAATATGTATTGTGTACATTAACCACCACAAATATAT